CTTTGAATTTGAGACTTCGTTTCCATGGAATTGATCTCCATTGGAATACCTTGTAATGTCTGTTGCCAAGTCTTTGTGACTTGTGTGCATATTCATTACAAGAGGATCATTGCATATAAGTTTAGAATCTAACAAGATTACGGTAAATGACAAGAATTTGGTGTTCTTACATTTATTTTTTAAAGGATTTGGGATTGTGAAATGAGCATCATTGAAATGCTGTCAAACGATCTGTTTCACAAAGAGAGGACCATATGTAAACATAGTGTGCGTACTTGGAGTATGGCATAGCTGTTGTTTGGACAAACATGGTGTGCATGCTTAGAGCATGGCATGACTATTGTTTTAATTCAAGTATTAAGTTGATATATCGAAACATTGGATAATGAGTAATCAATATGGTGCTTAGATAAAAGGTGTTTTTTATTTACACTCAAAGTGTTGGGGCCATATAGGATTAGTATTATTCTTGTGTTTCACTTTGCATGTTTTGACTTCCAGAATAACTAGGTCATTCTTCCCGAATGACTAAGTTATTCAAACCATCCACAGTCGGTCATATGTTGGAAGTAGATATGAATCAAGACTGTCATGAATTTGGCTTGTATGATCTGTCTAATGTGCATTAGACATAGCAGTGGTTGCTACAACATTCATGAGTGCTCATAAGTTCTGGGTATTGGATTCAACCCACGCTCATTTGAATCACTTCATGGATTTTATCACGAGTGAATCATGAGACGATAATATCTTATATTCTTCAAACCTAGAGATATGAGTTGTTGACTATGAGTTGGTTATACATTGATTGCACGAAAACGCATTGGTAACTCGATGTTATAAAACGTGCCTTTGTGTATGATTCAACAAGTAGTCAGTACAAGCATATAAGTCAAAGTTTATTCATTCCTTTTACCCTCAAAGGGATAAAAGCGATATATGTGGGCCCCTCGATGATTTAGTGATGACAAAATGTAAGTGCTCGGCCGGGCCTGGACTGATTTGATTTGTTCAATTAGTCAGTCATCATAAATCGAAAATCGGGAAACAACAAATGGACAGAGAGAATGATTATAATCCATGTCTCAGTCCATATGATATCTAGAATGGAGGAATATATGATCACTTATCTAATGGACGCGTCATTGATTTGTTCAGAGTTCGGCAGCAGCTTTTAAGAGCTACGATTGCTAGTCGGGTTATGAAGTAATACTTGCAATAATAGTTTTAGACTTATCCAAGTAGGAGACTGTTGGATTAGTGTCTAAGTCCATAACTATAATTGGTATATACTTGACCCGACCCGGCATGGTCCATTTGGGTTGCATGGCATCGTGCATTTGGATAGACTAAAATGAGAGAAATAACACTTAAGGTTTATTAATATATTATAAGTTCTAATATATTAATAAGATTATTTAATTAGTATTGATCAAGAATTAATTTAGAATTAATTAAGTGATCAAAAGAAGACTAATTAAATATATGGGTTGATTGTGTAAATCATCCATACTTGTATAGTGGGCTAAGACTCCATGGATTATCAAGTTGGGCTAAAACCCATAGGATACTCCATGGATGCTCCATGGTGTATTTGAACACATAGATCCAAGGAAATGGAAAGTCATGACAATTAGGGTTTTCCCTAATTGTAACAACTATATAAGCATCTTATTCTTGGAAAAATCGGCCACCATGTATGCATGAAGAGGGCAAGCCGATTTCATGAAGTGTTCTACTTTCTCTCAAGTTATTCCAAGTGTTCATGATGTTGTGTGAACCATTTGAGGTGTCACACTTGGGGCACTAGGCTCTTGAGCTCCATGGAATCAAGCACCAAACAAGAGGTATGTAATTCTACTAGAATTTATATTATGTGTATTTTATATTATGCTAGTTAGAACAATACATTGGAAAATTGATATTTGCATGTATAATAGAGAAAACATAGATCCAAGGTATTTAGAGTTGCATGTACACCATATGAGTGTTAGAATGCTCAAAACCCAACATAATCATGATTCTCTGTTGATTCAATTGCAAAATCAATTCCTTATAAATGGGGATAAATATTGACATTTTGGTTTTAAATATTAACATTTTGGGATGATATGTGAAATTGCCAAATCAGATGTTAGTATAACTAGAGTTCAATGGATCAAGGCATTGACCTTGGGGTTAAGACAAAGATTATTATGTATTGGTTTCTGCAAGGGTACTCTGCAATACTTTTGATCTTTATAAGAAATGTGCTTGATGCTTCTTTTGGTGTTTCTTTTTTTGTTATCTTAGGCGTGACTTTGTGAGAATGGAATTCTGTTGAAGACAATAAGAGGAAAGAATGGATAAAATCTAAGATAAACCAAATCGTTGGTGGCTGTTAAGTGCCTTTAACTGTATCATCATATCATTTTTGTGCTTGAGAGAACATGGTAACAGAAAAAGAATATAAATGATACTTTTTTGGAATATTTCCAATTGTTAGTGTCCTTTTTATGAAGATCTTAATATGTGCATGATGTCTCTATTATATTATTGTTAACAGGAGGAGTATTCACAAACAGAAAACATAGTAATAATTATAACATTTTGTTTTTTATTACTAAGATATAAGTGACCCCACTCTTTAGCAATTTTGTGTTCGCAGGTAATAGCTATGACAGTTTCTTCACTAGACAAATGTCCCACTGTTATATTAATAATCAACAGGGAATTGGAATGAGGGTGTTGAGTGGACGGTTTCAATGGAGATTTGAAAGGAAACATCAATCAAACAACTCAAAAAGGCATTCGGGGGAATTAGTGGGTATATGAATTAAAACATTTTCTAATTAGCTTAAGTGGGAGGAAAAATATTGAGAGAATATATATATATATATATTGTATTTATTTATACCACATGTTTTAGAGTGAGGCTTATTTGTTATAAACTGATTTATCTTTTCAGGGGCATTTTGGGTATTTTAGTTAAAACATTTTGTAATCAGCATCAGGTGGTTCTTGTATTTGTTCAGGTAACAAAAATATCTTATAAATATTTTTATATTCCATATTTCATATTTTAATCTCTAATTTTTTTGAAATGAATTCATAGATTGCTCTATTAGTAATCTGCACTTGGAATGACTTATAACCGGAAGAGGAAAATAATCTAAAAGATCAAATGCAATACTTTACAAGGTTTTCAAAATTGTTTTTTATTTTAAATCCTATATTATTTTTTTTATAAATCTAACTAATTTTTATAAAAATGTAGATACTCACTTCTGCCCTCCAAGAAATTGTCGAAACAAAAGTACAAAATTAATTGGACTTTTGACATCAAGAGAGGAAATACCAAACTTGTTGAAGGTTTGTGGAAAATGGGTATGCATAATTATATGTTTACTTATTCACATGTTTATAAACACTTTTAAATTAACTTTGCTCAAGGAAACCTATTTTTTTAGGAAACACTACTTGTGCATAAGGGCTTGACTAATGGAGGGCTGCAAGATCTTGTTAAAGAACTTGAACAAGAAGGTACAACATCTTTTCTAAAATATTTTTTACCACCCCTTTAGGGTTAAAATGTAGTTTTATCTCCTTGCAAGTGTTACATTGTTTTTTGGACAAGAGTGAAAGAGTGAACGGTTTGGTTAACTCCAGGAAGACAAATAGATTCCATTACAAGTACAAATTCAAGGCTTGCAGAATTTAAGTAGTTACATTTTCAAGGATCAAGTTTCGTGTTTCTTCTCCAACAAGTATTTAGTTTGATAGTAATATGTTTAGAGTACTAGTACAACATTTAGACTTGTTGAACTATTTTGAAGACTATTGTTTTTTTTAAATATATTGAGAATATTGTTGTTAGACAAGTTTGAATTTTATGTAATGATATTGTGTTTCCATTTGCAATCTTAATTGTTTATTGTTATTTTATATTCCATTTAAAATTTTAAAAAACCGGAACTAATTTATTAATATAATTTTTTTGTGCGTTAAAAAGTGACACTAAAAACATGTAAATAATATTTATTTTAATAGTTAAATAGTGGCATAAAAATAATGACACTAAAACCTACAAGTGCTTTAATGACATAATTGAAAAGTGTCACTAAATCTCAATAAGACTGCAGCGGCACAACCAAAAAGTGCCACTAAAGGCCTTTAGTGAGAGCGCTTGTAGTGGCACTATTTTTTTGTGCCGCTGATTCTCCACGGGGCCTTTAGTGGTACTTTTTCGGTTTTTAGTGACACTTTTTCTATGCCACTAAATGTCAATTTATTTGTAGTGAACTGACAGTGGAGAGGGTTGGGTAATTCCTTAATTGAGGCTTGATCTTTCTCATGCTTCAATACTCAATTTTGGTCATTTATTGAACATCTTATTCATATCGTTCTTGTGGTTTACATCGTCGTTAGGGTAATTGAGGCTTGATTGGTTCTAAAAAAGAAGAACACGATTATGTTTTTCTTTTTGTCACTTTGGTCCACACGTCTTTATAAATATGATACTTTTGGTCATGTAATTTAAATCATAGCTAGTAAATGACCAACTACGAAAGAAATTTAAACTATAGGGTCATTCGTGTAATTTAGAATAATCAGTTAACGGAGATATGAGTAAAAACTAACGATAATGGCTTAAGTGACATTTACAATAAAAGTTAGATGGCCTATTGCGAAAAAAATAACATAACTCATCAAATCAGACAAAACACATAAGTTCGTTATAAGTTCGTTATGGCACAGTGACATTTTCCATGAAAGTAACTCTTGTATGTATTTCTCGGCTTGGTTTTTGTGATTTCCGGTTTCTATTTCTCGGCTTGGTTTTTGTGATTTCCGCTTGGGTTGGAGCCGTTCTCGGCTTTCTTTCTCGCATGTTAGCCATGTGTTTAAGTGTTTCACTTTCGTTTGTTCACCTGCGTTTGTTATTTGGGGGTTATACAATCGGAGAGATAGAGTCTGAGGCGGACAGATAAAGTTGATTATTTTCACCGATCTACAACCCCATGCATGCTTCACCGACGTACTTCTGGTGGCTTTCGACAAAGATTGCGGCAAGCTTGTGGCTTTCGACAAAGCTACGTCTTCATTTGTATATGATTTTCTTTCTATTTGGGTTTTCATTAGACTTCCATCTTCACCAGTCCTATAATTTTTTTTGGTGTTTGATTTGGGTTTCCACCTTCTCTGGTTCAACTTTCGTTATACGGTTCTTCAAAAGTTGTAGTCAATTTTGTTCTGTTAATCAAGATGGTTTCCATGTCCAAAATTGCTGCAGTATCGTTAGGATCCTGTGAATTTAGGAACATAAAAAGATTGTGTGTATGATTAGGAAGCATATTCACAAGTCTGTTGAGTGGTGCATAATTTGTGTATGTTCCTCAAAAGAAATTGATGAACATGGACCTCCCCCTTTTCCCTTGAATTCTGATTACAGGTGGCATGAAGAAGATGAACAAGGAACTAGGTCTTGCCTTTCTACATGCGTATTTTGATTCTCGATGAATAGGGGATCAAGGATTGAGGGCGGAGATGTTGGTGGCGTAGGGTTGTGAAGGTGGTGTTGGCGATAGAGGTTCGTGATGGTGGGTTGGTGGTTGGTATGGTTAGCTTGGGGGTCAATTTCATTCTTCTAATGCTAATCTTACTTTGGTCATTCATATACCCAGGTGATATGTCAATAATTTCTTCACTTTGTCTTTCTTAATCTCCTTGATTCTTATTCTTGATTCTTGATGTTCATGTTGCTTTTTCTGATCCAGTAGCGGTACTTTTGAGAATTTGGTGCTAATAAAAATCTGACGTTTTATAGAAGATATTGAACGAGACTAGATACTTCAAACCCTTGCCAAATTCTTGGTAACTCCTTAAAAGTGCCCTTTAATCTGGTTTTTCATCTATTTATGTCATGCTTATGCCTTTTTATATTTTTTTTTAATCTGTAAAATTTTTTCAAGGATTGGCCTTGTAGATAGGAGTGATGTTATCAGGATGAGCATGGTCTAGGAGGACACGGTGTCATATCCAGAATGTTTGGTCATGATTCCATCTTTTTAATTCATGATACTGAAATATCCATTTAATCTATAATATATAACTAATTCAAATTTTATTCTCCACTCATTGTCGATTATTGCCAGGAACGCTGCAAAGGAAGTACTTTATATGGATTCTAGGGTGGACCAGTTGGGATCATGTCCTATTTATCTATACAGAAATCAGGTACATGTATTTATGAATATGTGTAACCTTTTACTTCTATATGAAATTTATCTACTTTTGGTTCAAGATTATTAAGATAACTTTATGCATGAATATGATCACAGTTTGTATATCTTTACCAAATTTCTCAGTTTCTTTTTATTTGTTGTGTAGAGGAGGATTTGATATGATTAGTGGGAGGGACAAGATTGAAACTCCCGAACATGTTTTGTATTTATTTTGTGGGTTGCATACTTTGTTGCAAATTTGTTATATAAGGATAGTTATGAACAAGAATTTTCAGCTTATATGAATAAGGCTTTGTTTATTTTTTCCTCATCAAGTGTTGTCTTGAAGGAAAAATAAAGGGTGATCACAAAAACAACCAAAATGGGTGGTGGTGTAATTTAACAAACTGACCGCCTTTTTACTCGTTTAATAAAATGACTTTTCTATTTCGAAATAGGGCTAACTGTGAATTGCAAATTTGTTTTTATAAATGGTCCATTAATATGGTCTTGTTTAACTATATATTTTAGGCAATTTTCTTAATAAATTAATCTAAAATGTTATATTTTAAGATATATACGATACTTAATATATTTTGAAATGTTCATTTACAGTAAAAATGGGAGTTAGGATGCAAAAGGAGGAAATCAGAGTTGAAACGGACGAAAAACGAACAAAATCAGACGAAAAGCCTAAAGACATGCCGCGTCCTTTATAAGGCGCGTCGGGCCCCTTAAGAAAATTCTGGAACTTTGCGAAAAACTCACGAGTCGGTCTACGTATTCGTGTGCAACAAGGAAACTCGACACCACGACATGGTGACACCTTTACCACGCTGTTGCGATGTAATTTTATAAATATACGAGTTTTGTAGCCCTAATTCGGAGGCCATCTTCCACCAACTTCGCGAGCAAGTTATTAGTCGATATTATAAGTTTTCGAGAGCTGAAGAATACCTTTGAGGTGTGTATTTGAGGATCACAATGAGAATTCATCGATTTATTCGTTTCAGTTTGTTTTATATCATGTATTTCAATTCCGAATTCGTTAGATTATGTTTGCTAGTTATGATGCAAGGCTATAAACCTTTTTACTTTCATTAGATGTAGATGAACCCTAGTTGATACATGTTTCGATTTCGTTATTAAGATTATGTCAGTTAGATTTTAACTTGTGATTGATTGATTGTTTATCTTTCATGTTAAAGTTATGATTTTTATTACCTACATGTGACTTATGTGTAGTTTAGATGATCAATCTAGTTACATTAGCATGATTCTTAACTGTTTGTGATCATTAAATTATTAGGACTATAGATTTATTCAATCCTAGGGTTAGGTAATATTAATCGTTAATTTTAATTGCGTTAGAGAATTATAGTTATCCATGTTATGCTTGATTTATTGTCATCACCATTGATAAGAATCGTTACATCATATCCTTCATAGCTGAATTTATTTAAATGGTTTTGTGTTCACTAATTGCATGATCATTGAGATTAGATGTTCATTAATCATTAGTACTTGGATTTTCGACCAAGATAACTAGTCATAAAAATCAGTAACCAACTCATTAATCTATTCCATGCTAACGAGTGAAACATAAAAAAACTATGGGGATTCATATTCTAGTGGAAGTACTTTAAATCTACTGTTTTAAAGTTAGTTCTTTGTTGTTGTTTTCTTAATCTCAGCGTTTAAACAAGTGAGTTATTTTAAACAACACCCCCCCCCCCCCCTTTTACTTTTATGTCTTTAGTTTAATTATTATCTTATTTATTTAAATCAAAATCATTCCCGTTCTTTGAGAGTTAGTCACCATTTCTAACCTGACTATATTGCTTCACAAGTAGGTCTATGCCTATTTGTATTCTAAAACTAGTTGAGATTTATTAGGCTTTTATAAATTTAAAACTAGTGGTATAAAAGTAGGAACCACGCCGTGGTTTGATCATTACCACGTTGCGATCCCCGGTTTGTCCAGATTATTTCAGAGTATGGGCTAGAAATTTCATCTTTGAAGAGAGTTATGAAGTATGGTCCATTTTTTATTAGTGTCCAACTGGTTCCAACCCTTGTCAAAATTATGGGGATTTATAGATTCACGCTCAATTGGACGATTTAAGAAATGAAGAGTCAAATGCAACGGATGGATTGGAATTGACTTTATTAGAAGTTTATTAAGTTGGGAGTCCAACTCATGACTCACACAAAAAAGAAGCGCTTATCGGGAGGCAACTCAACTTTTAAATTTGTCTGCATTTTCTTTTCATTTTTATTATTTATTTTTATTTTTAGTTTTATTTTTTAATAAGAGTGTTTTTGATGATTCTTATTTTTGTTGCAAGAAATTTTCAGCTAAAAACTGATGATTGGCAATAATATAAGAGTGGGGTGGATTATTTCGAGAAGAGAACGAGAGGCATGACAGACAAAATAAGTACGGGGTATACAATCGTCATGGAGCTAAATCGAGGAGTCTATTGAGCTTTTTGATGATATATGGGAAGAGACTGATATAAGGGACTAGTTGAGAAATTAGCTACTTTGAGTGTAACATCCTGTTTCGAGAAGTTTGATATTCCGGGATTGTGGACAATAAATGGATCAAATAAAGGCATTGGGCTTCAAGGGAATGGGGTTTAGACCTTATTGGATAATGATAATGTTGGATAAGTGATTAGAGCCTTGGTTTGTGTCTTTGAGTCAAAGGGTAAAATAGGAAAAGTGATGTCTCAGACTTCTTTTATGAATTAAGGATTTTAGTTAGATGTGTTTTAAGTCAAAAGTAATTAGATAGGGGTGTGGGGTTCGTCAATACCTTTCCGCGCATATAAAGAACGCCGGAAACGGTGTTGAAACGAAGAAGTTATAATTGTTTGAAGTTGAAGTGAAATTGGGTGAAAACCCGATCTCATGAGCGTGAGAAGTAATTCTCACGACGTGAGAGTCCTCACGTGGTGAGAATATATTCTCACAACATGTGAACTGTGCAGCCCAAAGCCCACAAAATGTTTAGGGTTTTCAAGGTATTTAAACGTAAGGATTCATGTTTTAGGGTATTCTCTTCGCCTCCATCATATCTAGAACCTCTTGGGAGAAACTCTAGCCTCCATTTTCAAGATTTAACCCTCCCCTCTCCCCTCTCATTGATTTTTGGAGTTTTGGTGGTTTTGGAGCAATGTTTTCATGCAAGATTGATCATTGACGCTTGAAATTAAAGATCTCAACTTTCATCTACATTTTAGACCTTTGTAAGTTATAAAGTTCCAAGCTTTATTGCATTTCATCTTTAGATCTAAGTGTATTTGGTGTTTTGGTCCATTTCAATGAGTTTTGAGTGAAAGTTGGGAATACAGTTTGCAACTTTATTACTCTCCAAGGTCCCAAGAACATTGTATGTTTCAGATCTCGACTCCAACACCTTTTGATAAGTTTAGAATGTTTTCTTGGACCTCATGGACTAGGAAAGTTTTGATCTTTTGCATTCCCTTTCAGTCGTTCAAGTTATTTTGGTAATTTATGCCATTTTTATGTATTAAAGTTTAGATCTTCAAAGCTTGAGACATTATTATGGATAACGCTGGAAACTTTATCCATCTAAACATCTTGTTGATTCAGATATGAAGTTGGAAGACTTGGACTTAATAGATTAAGTTGAGAAAGATGCATTTTGAGTCCTTTGAGACTTAAATTCTAGATGTTGGTGGTTTGGACCTTTCTAATGGATAAAGTTAAAAACTTTATCCATTAAGACAATGGAAAGGAGCAGATTTGGGCTTTGGAGCTCTTGGAATCAGAAGAAAATGGATTAAGCTCGTTTGAGTTGTCCAGACAAGTCCATACGGCGTGGCCTTAGGCCGCCACGACGTGGCGACTGGGGGATTAGCGACTATGTTGGAGTTTTGTGCCCACGATGTGGCCAAGGAAGGCCACGACATGGAGGGTTGTTGACTGGTAGTTTTGACATTGACTTTGACCGTTGACTTGTTGACCATTTTGACTTTTGGTCAAATTTTAGTAGAATTGAGCATATGGCTAAGGATTTATTTCTGTTTGGCTTTAGGAAGCTTGCTTTAGATGTTATGTTGCTGAGGTAGCTATTGGAATTTTAATGAATAGTTCGGGTGAGTCTCCTCAGTATACTCGTGGGTCGAAGACACCAATATCGTCCCACTGGATTATGTTCGTAGGATGATAGTTGTCTTTGTGACACTTGTTGATATGTCTGTATGTGCTTTTTATCTATGTGACTCTTGCTGATATTATTGTATGTTTAGATGTAGGGGTGAAATAGACTCGCACCCCTTGAAAGATATCAAAGGAGTCAGAAGGGACTCAACGAGTTTGAAGGGACTCAGAGAGCCAGAAGGGACTCGGCGAGTCGGAAGGGACTCAGAGATTCGACAGGGACTCAGGGGTGAAATAGACATGTTACAGCTTCAGGCTGATATGTATGTATGATGCGTATGTATGGTATGTGGTATTTTGGGGAACTCACTAAGCTTTGTGATTACGATTTATGTTTAAAATGTTTTCAGGTACTAATGGTTTCAAAAGGAAGGGACCGACTTGATCGCACTGCATCCCCCTAGAGATTTATTCTGCATTGAATGTTTACGAATTACTCTGATGTTTTGATAATACTATTATTCTGATTGTCTTTGAGTTAATGAATGAATGGTTTGATTTGTTTAGAAATGAAAATTTTACTCGGTATTTTTGGGGTGTTAAAAGTTGGTATGAGAGCCTTGGTTTGAGGAATTCGGGCACACTCTCGGGTGTGTATGAACTCAAACTGAGGATTTGGTAATCTTTTTGAAAAAATAAATAAAATTTCTAAGGAGATTTCTATAAAGAAAAGGGGTGTGATGCGTGCAATCAGTGAAGCTTAAGTAAGTTTTTCCAAAATACCCATACATGTGATATGCTTATTGTTTTGGTATGAGTATGTGAGAATTGCATGCTAGATTAAGGATACGGATTTGCATGATAGTGATGGGTTTAGAGCATATAAACAATCCTATGTGCCCATGCAAAACCCTAAAGCTTGGATCTAGGTTTCTCTATTGAACATGCAATTCATCCAAGACTTATAAACCCTAGATCTAGCATACATATTTCGAAATTAACATAATAAATCAGATCTAGATGATTACCTTTCTTGAATGGCTTGAATCTTCTTTTCTTTGAAGCTTAGTGTCACAAATGTCACACATCTAATGGCTTACAAACACCACAAGCAAGAGGATAATGTTTAGGAGAGAGGATGAAAGACAAAAGTCGGCTCCAAGCTTCCAAGGAATCAAGTGGCCGATTTTGCTAGCCCTAGGGGTCCTTATATACTTGAGCTTCTAGGGTTTCAGTCAAAACCCTAATTGGATGACTTAGGACCTAAGTAACTTGAGAACCTTCTGGAATAAGGCCTCTATGGCCGAAATTAAGATGCACTCCTCTTAATTTCGTCCAAGCCCTAATTCCTAAGGATTCTCAGCCCAATATTTAACTATCACACAATTGACAGTTCTAGTCCCCTTTATTTAATTAATGTCTTTTAGCCACATAATTAATTCTTAATTAATTCTAGTCTAATATTAATTAAACTATACAATTTCTCTTTTAATATATTATTCATATAATATATTAATAAACCATAATAACCTTTATTTCTCCATAAATCATCCTATCAAGTTGCTCTGGTGAAGGCAACCCGAAAGGACCATGCACAACCGGGTCAAGTACATACCAAATATAGTTACAGGCTTAGACACTAATCCAACAGTCTCCCACTTGGATAAGTCTAGTAACTATAATGCATATATGATCCGATTAGCAATCGTAGCTCTCAAAGACGTTGTCGAACTCTGATCTTATCAGTAACTTGTCCTTTAGATAAGGGATCGTATAGTCCTCCATTCAGGATATCGTGCGGACAATTACATGGAACATAGTCATACTTATTGTCCAACAA